CTTTTTTATCCTCATGTAGCCGATTTATCTCTGTTTTAAGTTCTAATATTAGTTCAGTTATATCTCTATGTGAAGCTTGAATTAATTTAGTCATTTGGCGTAAACTTTAGTTAATCGCACAGTCTTCTCTCTCTATCGACTCCAAACACTCCACATATGTAGATTCAAAATCAAATTCACTCACCTCCTCAGCTGTTTTCTCACTTTTCTCCTTATCCCTTGAAACATACATTGAATTACATAACATGTTCTCCAAATTAGTCGGTTTAGACATCTTAACAGCATTGTTACTTCTCATTGATGGCGGTCGACCTCTCTTTGGCGGGGAATGTGATAAAGGACCCGGATTTTGCTCAACTCCGGCCAAAATAAGCAAGCACTGTATTATTAATATTAAATATGCTTTAATCCATAACATATTCATCATTTAAATTCATATTAACAAGCTCACAATAAAATCACTCCAATACTGATGAACGCCAGAAGTGCCCCCATTACATTTTAATATTAATTTATAATATGGTATTGAATATAGATGAATTCCTAATTTAATTTTATGTGAATTAAGATTTTACAAGGGAAATGATGCGTTTACATATATTAAACTTGCATTCTTGCAGAAATATTCTACAACAGAATATAAATTACGACAAACATTTTCAAGGTTTGGACCCATAAAAAAAGTAAGTGTTTTTAGAATTTTAAATGTAAATAAATTTTATAGAGTTTATATTTGTACGGATGCAGAATATATCCAAATCTGTAAATTAGGTTCAGAAAAAATTATACCAGTCTTAAAGTAATTTTTGGCAACAAAATATTTTTGCAGTAGTTGCAAAATCTTTACAACAAAATGTAGTAGTATTTTAGCTAAGCCTGTAGACATTAATGAGGGAAATTGTCAAAAACATAATGGGAGTCCCATATTTTTAAAATGAAATTGAAATGCTTGATGTATAAAAGTCTGGTTAAAAAAAGAAAAGAAAAATTAAGCATATACAGATGTTGTGAGCCAGAGAGCATGTGAATAATAAGTCGGTTTCTTTATTAAAAAACCACAGGTTTGACTTTTACAAAAAACTAAAACTGAGCTTTAAATTAAATTAATTAATTAAAAACCAAAAAGGAAATCTGTTTTTATATCAAAATTCTGACATTATGTAGTGGGAGAAATTTTTTCTCGGCTCGAATTTAAGATGTAATATTTGCTTGTTCTTTGCATGGAAAATTTGCAAATTAATGAACTGCATTTAAAAAGATTTTTTGAATTGTCTTGATTAAATAGCTAAATAGAAGTTATATTATCATTTTATAAACATATTTTTCTTTATTCAGATATTTCAACAATATTTCAAAATTTGTTATAAAATTTAAAAATATATAAAAATATAGTTGCTCTTTTCAGCTTGGAAAAAA